CCGATAGGATATGGTTACGGATATGGTTTTGTAGTAAAATATCTGTATCCGTATCCGAAATATCCGAATACATATTAGTCATACTTTTACGATAGTTTCGATTCTTAGATTATGAATTTGTGCTTAATTTTGATGATCAAGATGTCTAATCTTAACTTTTTAATTATAATGGACATATTAACAAACTCTTTTGTATCACATGAACTATGTTTTACTTAATACTATCTAGTTCTCATATCTGTTTTGTATCTGCATGCATATCCGCTTATATATCTGCATGTATATCCGTAACCGTATCCGATTTAGCGGATATGGTTATAAATTTTTCTTACCGAGGTATATCTGTATCCGTATTCGTATCCGAAATGGGTAAGCGGATATGGATATGATTAGCATCATATCCGAGCCGTATCCGGACCGAATGCACCCCTAGTTACAAATAATCATGATGTTAAAGTTTAAAGATATAAGTGAGCAAAAACTATCAAAGTGGAGCCGATGAATAAATTTTAGTTAAACAATAAACTAAAAATACCTAATTATGATATTTAACCACGTACATTACAGATACATACATAAAACCTAGTTTTCGTATATGTAGCAGTCGACATGAAAAGCAATGAAAGTTAGTAGAATCCCAAATCTTTGTTAATCTTATATTACACTATTAAATCTTCATATTTCTAATTATTAGGCCCCACGCATTATTATATTTGTTCGAAGCATGGGTCTTATGTAAAACATCTAATCAATATATTAAGGGGTTTTATTTAAACAACTTTATGGATTTGGAGGATCTAATTTTGATTAATGAAGATTTGGGAGGGGTTTATGACCAACCCCCTAAGAGCCAAACGAAGAGTAAGTTTCTTTACATAAAACAAGCACTATGTAAGCATGATTGAGTTTCCCATTTGTTAACCAGTACTTGAACTTATTTTTTATCTCCCAAAAATCTTATTATAATTTTAATTGCCACCTAATTAATCCTAAAAAGAGTACAAAGATTTCTTATAGTCCCAATGCTGCCTCCATCTACGAAGACAGTGCTCAGCTCTCCTACAAAAGAAAATTACAAAGGAAATTAAATGCATGTGCGTGTGTCACGACATACACTTGAATGTCTCATATCCACTTAAAGAATGCTCATCACTAGAGTATATTATTGCATTATTTCCCCTTTATATAAAGTCAAGGCCTTAGATGGCTATCAAAATGGTCCGGATGGTCCGGAAAAAACAAACAAACACACACACAAACACACACACATATAGATAGATAGATAGATAAAAAAATTGCTTCAAGGTCCCAAAAGTTAAAAAGTAATGTGCATCAGCCCCCTGTACTTTATCCTTATGTATAAACCCAAAATACAATGTAAAATTGTATTTCAGTCTCATAGATAGATAGATGGAAAAATTGCTTCAAGGCCCCAAAAGTTAAAAAGTAATGTGCATCAGCCCCCTGTACTTTTACCCTTGTGTATAAACCCAAAATACAATGTAAAATTGTATTTCAGCCTCGCCAACTCAGCAGAATGAGAGGGAAACTTCTAAAACCCTATTCTACCCCTCCCGCCCATAGCGCTACTCGTGTGTTGGTAACGACGCTCGCCCACTCCGTAACTCAAATCAAGGCTCGCGCTCTCCCTCTCCCTTNCTATAGTTAACAATAGCCGGCGAAATTCCCAAATCTCCACTCTAGGGTTTGATCGAAATCGACAGAAGATTGTTAAAAAATTGACGAACTAATTCGAAGCTGTTCACCGTCCTCCTCTGCCCCTGCAAGGTCAGGAGTCTACACCGACGAACAACGAGCGACAAGACTCGCCTTTGACCGAGGTTAAAGACCTCCCCTCATCGGCGTTGACTGGTAAAGATCCCCCTTGCCTTTCAAGAATTATGAAGACCCCCTTTGCCATCTAAGACCGACCATGGACCCTATTCTCTCTCATCCTCCTCCCCCTCCAAGTCTTCGTCGACCAATGCGTCATCATTTAGGGAATGGCCGCACTGATGAAGCCACCCAGACCCTGTTGAGCATGCAAAAAGGGTTACTGAGGAAAAGAAAAATTACAAGTTCAAAACAGGCATTAAAGGAGTCCATAAAGAAGTAAGTTGATGTTAAATTTTCCAATTTAGATAGATGTTACGGATTAATGTTGGTGCATTGTGAACTATATGCCTGGATCTATGAAATGTAACATATTAATGTTAGCAATGAATGAATGGTTGTTACGTTTTGTTATAAGCTACTAACGTTTCTTATAAACTGTTAACTATGGACATTGGTTGAAGGTATTGGTATCTGATACCTGACTTTACATAGCATGCATTAAGTTTTATTGGTGGATAACAAGTATGGTGATTGTTTGTTAAGGTGTATAGAATAACTGTTACATTTCATTGTTGCATGTTAACTAATTGATGTTGGATGTTAAGTTTAGAGAGGTTAATATTAAATGTTAAATTTTAATACAGGAAAAAGTCTGGTGGTACTGCTGAAATTAGACCTACATGTAGTTTTAGCGCATATTATAATTTTATAAAAGTCCTCGAACCGAGAATGAGGCGGTGTCACTAGGATGCATACAAATGGTGTACATTTGAGCATTATGTAATGTTTGGTCCACCAGCCCTAGATCTACTCACGCTTGAACTAGTTTTGAGTCATTATGTAGGAAATGAAGTGACGTTTTCTCTGCCCGATGCCGAAAGTGGGAGAGAAAAGATGGTTAATTTTGATATGGACTGGGTTTATGAACACATGGTTTTCCAATTGACGTGGAAATAATTTACAGTAATAGAGATTCTCACCCTAGGATTTGGTTGGAGTATTTTGCTGAGCAATTTACTAGAAGTGAAAAAGAATCACGGAAGAATATACGGCGATATGTGGAAGAGCTACTAGAATCTCTTGTTGAATCAAAAAAGAAGAAGGATATTGAGGATTTTGTGTTACTACAGATTATTTATCAATGTTCGATGATTTGGTGCCCTAGTAGTGTCCAAGGCATCCCTAGGCTCTTGTTCAAATATGTTGATTGCATTGAAAGAGTGAGGAATGTGGCCTGGGGGAAATATATTTATAACCAGACGAAGAAAGGAATTAAGATTGCCAGGAAAGGTCTGAACAAAATAGGAGTTTCATATGTTCCTGGATGCATGCCTCTAATCCCTGTAAGTTATATTAATTTTTCTTATTGTTATGGTTAACTTGTGCATGTGAACGTTTGCATGTATTCTGTCAACTTAAGTTAAAAGTAATTAACGTTAACTGGTTCATGTTAACTATATTAAGATCAGTGTTAAAGTTTGTGAGGCATGTATACACACACACACACACTCACACTGTTATGGTTAACTTGTGCATGTGAACGTTTGCATGTATTCTGTCAACTTAAGTTAAAAGTAATTAACGTTAACTGGTTCATGTTAACTATATTAAGATCAGTGTTAAAGTTTGTGAGGCATGTATACACACACACACACACTCACACTG